CTGCCCCGCTGCTCCCAGGGACACCCTGCGCCCTCCGCCAGCCCCAAGCAGGGGGAGCCACCAAGTCCAGGCCCTGCTGCAGTAGAGTCACCCCACCAGGACAAGGGTGGCCCCTCCCCCACAGGCTGCCCCCAGGGGTTCTCACCTCCAGCGTGATGTTGCCCTGGGCCACAGCCTTGCTGATGCTCATGAAGACGTTGTCCCTCAGGCTGCTGGAGAGCTCCAGGTTGCAGCCCGCGTTCACGGAGGCTGCAGCGTGGCAGAGAGACAGGGACCAGCACGTCACCAGGGCTCAGGCTCTGCCCCCCCGCCCCAAGTGCCCCCCACCCAGCTGAGTAGCCCCTGCCGCCTGCCAGTCTGGGGGCAACCAGCTCAGCTCTCCAACTGAGGCACCAGCACCCTTGTTAACTAGGCCTCACGGGGCTTGGGAAGGGGAACAGCAGGGTGTGTGCAGGGGGGGAAACCGAGGCACACGCATGACTTGCCCAGGGTCACACAGCAAGTCAGTGGCAGAGCTGAGGAGAGAACCCAGGGGTCCTGACCCTCAAAGCAGAGCCCAGCCTTTTCTCCTTCCCTCAAGCCGCCACGGGCTGTGCTAGAACCAGCAGCAAGAGGGCCATGCCCTGCGCCCAGGCTCACCGATGGCCGTCTCCAGGAAGCTGTGTGTGTAGCGATGGGCCAGCATGATCAGCTGCTCTGCCACGTAGCCCTGGAAGCCCCACTCGGCCCGTAGGATGTCGGTCAGCAGCTTCTTGTTGGCGCAGGCGGGCACGCCGTTGATCCTGCCGGGTTGGGTCTAGTGCTTAGTGCAGTGCCCAAGGCAGCCACCTCTGGGGTGGGGCATGGCAGCTGGTTAACAGCGCCGGGCAGTTTGGCCCACTACACTGGATTGTGGTTGCTGGGGGATGGATGTCAGCAGCAGGTATCGGGGCTCCTGCCCTAACTCCCGCCGGAAGGGCCAGGAGACCACCAACAATGAGAGATGGAGAGAACCGAGGTCTGGCTTCGCTTTCCCCAGAGCAGGGTGCAGGGGATGGGCTCAGCCGAGACCAAGTGGAATAAGTCTCCCCCTTGAGCCACCTGGGGACTCCTCCTGCATCCCAAAAAGAGCTACCCTGCACCGCTCCAACACTGGACAGCTGCTATGGGGCTTGGGCTGCTCACCTGCAGTGGGGTGGGTGGGAAAGAACAGCCCTCCTCTCCCCCAGGCTGAGCTAATGCTTAGCTTGGGCAGGGAGCAGTCTGCAGAGACCCCCTGCCCCATGCTCAGCCCCCCACCACATGTCCCGTCTCAGTGAACATAAGAACAACTACACTGGGTCAGACCAAAGGTCCATCTAGCCCAGGATCCTGTCTTCTGATAGTGGCCAATGCCAGGGGCCCCAGAGGGAGGGATCACAACAGCTAATCATCACGTGATCCCTCTCCTGTCACCCATTTCCAGACGAACAGAGGCTAGGGACACCATTCCCACCCACCCTGGCTAATAAGTATCGATGGACTTAATCTCCATGAATGTGTCTAGTTCTTTATTGAACCCTATTTAAGTCCTGGTCTTCACAACATCCTCTGGCAAGGAGTTCCACAGGTTGACTGTGCGCTACGTGAAGAAAAACTTCCTTTTATTTTAAACCTGCTACCTATTAATTTCATTTGGTGACCCCTAGTTCTTACATTATGGGAACAAGTAAATAACTTTTCCTTATTCACTTTCTCCACACCTGTCATAACTCTATAGCCCTCTATCGTATCCCCTCTTAGCCAACTCTTTTCTTAGCTGAAAAATCCCAGTTTTTTTAATCTCTTTTCATGAGACCCGTTCCAAACCTCTAATCCTTTTTGTTGCTCTTTTCTGAACTTTTTCCAATGCCAAGATAGCTTTTTTGCGATGGGGCGACCACACCCGTACACAGTATTGAAGATGTGGGCGTACCATGGATCTAGACAGAGGCAATCAAATATGCTCTGTCTTAGTCTCTATCCCTTTTTAAATGATTCCTAACATTGTTTGCTTTTCCGACAGCCGCGGCCCATTGAGTGGATGGCTTCAGAGAACTGTCCACACTGACTCCAAGAGCTCTCTCGAGCGGTAACTGCTAAGTTAGTTCCCATCTGTCCAGCCAGGGGCCCGCCTTGGCCCGTACCTGTTGTAGCTGCACATGACGCTGTAGGAGCCGGCATCCACACAGGCCTGGAACTGGGGCAGGAAGGTCATTCTCCAGTCCCGCTCTAGCACCTGCCAGACGCAGAGCGCTTGGTCAGTGCCAGGAGCCTGGTGCGACACCCCCGGGGGGTTCCCAACATCAGCCCTGGTGGAGCTCACTCACACCCAGGAATCTCTCGGTGTCACCTGGCAGAGAGCCTGCAGGGGCCACAGACTCATACAGGGACACCCTAGGCCCAGGGTAGCATGTGAGGTGTCTCCTGCTGGTCGTAAACGAGTGCATGGGTCATATTTCCAGCATTGTGTCCACACTGAAAACCACTTTCCGAAGGCAGCACAGTGACATCTCGCCTGGTTCTTTGCAGGCAGGGGGTGACAGAGTCTCATTTCTCTCTCTGGTCACATGCTTACTGTGCACCCTAGGTCTCCCAAGGGGTGCCTATTTGCAAACCACGCCTATGTTCAGTACACCAGGCCTTGGATTGGGAAATCGCCACGAGGGAAAAGCTACAGGAAAAACCATCAGCTGAGTGTGGGGGAGGCTGCTTAGGACTGAGATCAAAGGTTGAGTCTGGTGTTTCAGGTACGGCAAAGCAACACGGTAACTTTCCCCTAGCAGGCAAGCTGACAGCGTGCCTTGGCTCCCGAATGGAGACCACAGCCAAGCCTGGAAGAGCAACGCTCACAAGCCATCTATCAGGCAGAAAAGCAGCTACAGAAACAAACTTAGGATCCGCCCAGGGTCAGAGACTCCGAGGTTAGAAAGGAGCTTTGCAAGCCAGTCTGACCTCCGCTCACGCGCAGGCCAGAGAACCACGCCACAATTCCTGCGCAGATCTTTAGGAAAACCTCATATGTGGCTGTTGTGAAAGGAAGGTATTGAGGCCTACCCAGAATATGTCAAATGAGCACCAGTTTAATTGTAAGTGGAAAGGAAAGGCAGCATTGTGAGATACAGGAGATAAAAATAAAAACCAAATTTGATTGGATGACCAACAATAACCCCGCTTTTAGGGAAGTAAGTAAATCAGACAGCAGTATGCAACAAAGTGCTGATTACCCCAAATGGAGCAGACGAAAGTTTTTGTAAGGGCAGAATGAGACAACAAAAATCTAACGTCAGCAATTGTCAGGCGAATGGAAGAGTAACAAAATACCGAAACAGGGTATATAAGGTTAGCTGAAACAGACCAAGAACAGACAGGCTGCGAATCCAAAAAGCTAGGTCTGATCAACCAAGGCTCCCTCCCCGGTGCTGAATCTCGCTGCCGCACATAAGCTCCGAAAAGGGAACGAACACCGGTCGTAAGTTGCAACGAAAAATCCAAAGAAAGGAAAAACATAAAGAAAAGAATATCTCCTGAATCTAAGCAATGCTTCTGTCTTTCTTAACGTGAGTATTATATATTTGTTAACTCCATAAATTGTTTAAAGGTAACTCAGGAGGGTCTATCTGTAGGAGAAGTTATTATTTCTTGTTTTTGTTTTTAACTGTACTGTTTTTCTACTTTTTCTTTGTATATTATATTGTTTTAAAAGAATCAAAAATAGTGAATTGATTTAAATGGAAAATTAATTATAAAGTAAATAGAAAAAATAAAAAATCTTTGTTTGACCCTAAAAAGAGGTATTCCTCTGTCTGTGGTTTCAAATCCTTTAAAGAACCAAGCCAGGTTACCGAAAGATGTCTGGGCAGTCCCCACCACATGCAGACATGCTAGAAATTGGTTATCCCGTGAAACTGCCCAGTGATGGAGACCGGTCCTCCTCCCCACGCGTGCTCCGGCATCAGGGATGAGTTTATTTGACACAGAGTCGTTCCCATCACTCGACTCACGCGATTTCACTGCCAAGTGGGGCAGTGAGCGGAGGTGGAATTGGCCTGCTCTTTTGGAGCATCCTGCATGTGTCTGGAGTGCGGCTATTGCACGCCTGTAGATGAGACAGCAGGACGGTGCTCGTGGCCAGTGGAGCTGATCCCTGGCAGGCACAGACCAGCCTCTTGTGCGAGGGGGAGATGGGAGCGAGGTCCCTCAGGGCCCTGGGGGACCTGATCCCTGGCAGGCCCAGCCCAGCCTCTTGTGCGAGGGGCAGATGGGAGCGAGGTCCCTCAGGGCCCTGGGTTTCTCCAGGCAGCGTCACACTCACCTTGGCATCAAAAGTGAACCTGGAGACAGGCACGTTCTCGGGCCCCCCGTGCACACTGAAGTGCTTGCAGCCGGCACTGGCCTTGACATACCGAGGGTGGTCGCCCTGCAGCCCCTGCACGAAGGCCACTCTTGTGCGAGGGGCAGATGGGAGCGAGGTCCCTCAGGGCCCTGGGTTTCTCCAGGCAGCGTCACACTCACCTTGGCATCAAAAGTGAACCTGGAGACAGGCACGTTCTCGGGCCCCCCGTGCACACTGAAGTGCTTGCAGCCGGCACTGGCCTTGACATACCGAGGGTGGTCGCCCTGCAGCCCCTGCACGAAGGCCACGGCCAGCTCTGCGCTCAGGAATGGGTCTTCGCCGTATGTCTCCTGGGGACAGACGGACAGGCGTGATGCTGCTACTGCCTCTGGCCTTCCTGTGGGGGCCAGGGGTCACATCCCACCACCAATGTTCCCTCTAATCTTTTCCATCCATGACGGATGTTTTCTACCCATGTGCAGAATACATTTTGTAATGTGCACTGAAGAACGTGTGGATGTGCACCACATGGAGAAACACGAATCTAGCTGTGAGCGCTCTGGAACAGGGAACACTGCTCATCGCTCAGCAACAGCTGCCAATTCCCCACCTCCCTTCCAAACAGCCCTGCCACCGCCTGAGGACTTGTGGGACTTGTGGGGGCTCAGTCCAAAGAGCCATGGGCAGGTACATCGTGGACACGCTTGAGCAAGGGGTGTTAAGCACAGCCTCAGCACAGAGGGCAATGGGCCATTAGGGAAGAGAGGGATTTTGCCGGTCCCCCTGCAATCCCAGCCCTGGGCTCCCCACACACCCTGGTCTGTCTGTGTTACCTGGTTCCTGCCCCACAGCGGGTGTCTCATGATGTTCAGCACGGGGCTAAAGCAGCTGAGGCCTGTGTGGTCGCCATAGTTGCCGGTGGACACGAAGTAGTTGTGCTTGGCCCTCACTTCCGTGGCGGTGGCATTGGCCACGCGGTAGATGAGCTCGGGACTGCGGGGAAGGGAGGGGGCAGCTGAAGCATGGGGGGAAGGGCGAATGAGCCAGGGCTGTGCCCCGAAAGGGGACATGGCCACAGCAGCTGCACTGGCCCTGGACACAGCTAGGGCTGGCCTGGCACAGGCCCAGGCCCAGGCCCAGGCAAAGAGCCTGTGTGGACCAGGCCCCAACACGGCCGCCCCACCTCCCTCCCCGGCCAGTACCTGAAGGAGGCGGCCAAGCCCAGTGCTTGGGGGAAGGCCGTGGCCCAGCCTGGGGCTTCCGCGTCGCCCCTTAGGCACTCGGTGTTCCAGTTGTAGGGCTTGATCCCCAGCCGCTCAATGGGGGGCGCTGGCCCGTTGTGCTGGGCGCCACCTCTCGCCATCTGTGGGGGCACACTGCAGTGAGGAAGGGGGCACTCAGGGACCTCCGGGGCTGGACGCTCTGCCCAGGGGCTGGTTCCTGGCCCTGCAGAGGCAGCCGGCTTGCTCTGCTCGTCCATGCCAGATCCTAAAAACCCCTCCCCATTGGTCTCATTCCCAGCTTCCTCCCCTTCGACTGAGGGTCTTTATAGGGTGCCCCCGCCAGGCCCAGCCTCCTGCAGGGGGACATCAGTGCACTGAGGATGCTGCCTCCCCCCCGGGGAGGGCCAAGGCCAGCGCTGCCCCGCAGAGGGGACGCAGCCCGTGGGGCGGACGCTGTGCTGGCAGCAGAGACCCCCAGCCGCGCCCTGCTCCATACCTGCAGCACCAGCTCCCCCAGGGAGAGTCGCCCCATGAGGTCGTCCAGCCGCTGCTCCCAGGGCAGGCTGGGGTCCTGGAAGGGGTAGTCCTGGGCCAGGCCCAGCCCTGCCGAGAGCAGCACGGCCGGCGCGC